AGCAGGTGGGGCGGGTTTGCACCAGCCGGGGTCGGCTCTAAAGTTCTCCTGCGGGGCGAGGGGGAGGTGGAGCTTTAGCTGCTGCTGCTGCGAGACCTTTGGTCTTCTCCCAGCTGCTCTGAAAACTTGTCCCGCCGCGGCGTGTGTGTGTGTGGCCCGCCCAAGGACTTTCCATCTGTAGCCCATTGGGACTGCTGTGCGGAGGGGGAGGGCGCGCGCGGAATGCCCTGGTTGTGCTCACTGCTGGTTTCTTCCTAGCAAAAGGAGAGCGTGCGGGGACTGAGCCTTGGCTGGATTTGCTGCTCCCTGCTTGTGCTGCTGGTGAGCCTAAGGGACTTGCTATGGACGGGGAGAGTGAAGTGGATTTGTCTAATAACAACATAACGCCACGGTGGAGAAGGAGGTCCACCCCCGAGCTACATATTAAGAGCAAACCTAGACCCCAGTCTTACCAGAGCCCTAATGGGGTCCTCATCACAGATTTCCCTGTGGAAGAGAGGGAAACATTCACTGTGACTCAGCCTGCTGAAAGGATAGTTACTCCTCCAGACCACAGATTAATCCCTAGGAGCCCCTCCTCCTGTCAATCCAATATGGAATTTGTGCCAAATGGAAAAATAGGGTCTCCGGAGTATAAAGCATTAACCCCCCAACTTTCTTCAAATCGGTTGTCTCAGGCTCTGCAGTTGTGTTCAGATAACTTAGTGTGCTTTACAGGTGGTGATACAGTAACCTCAGTGGATGACACATTGCTTAATTCAGTGCCGATTTCTAGTCAGTCCGCACTTATCCCAGATCATAAACAGATTGCTTTTCTGTCAACTCCTGAGTCCTTTCCTGGAAATATGCCTTTGCCGAATAACAACACAATGGCTGTTTTGCCGTTACACTCTGACCAGTTTTCTAAAAACCCAGAGAAGGCATTGATGAGTCCCTCATTGGTTTCCCTGACAGCTCCCTCACAGCCCCATTTAACTCTCCACAGACTGACATCCAATCAGAACCAGCTCTCAGAAAAACAGTCAATAGTTCTGAGTACAAACAGTCCTGCTGCCCTTAAAGTGGGGAAACAACAGATCATTCCTAGGAGTTTGGCTTCTGAGGTAAAACTGACAAACAAAACAGGCAATCAAAATGTGGAGCAGAACAAAAGGGTCCTCAAGGTCCGTAGCATGTTGGAGATGCTTAATGTGCCTTTGATAACTGATGGTGATGAAGAGGCAGAAGGTGACCCAGGCAGTCCACGGGCATTGCGAAGAGGATTGCGGTCTACTTCCTATCGAAGAGCAGTAGTGAGTGGCATTGACTTTGACAGTTCTACAGATTTTAAGAAAAAAAATAGAATGTCCCAGCCAATACTCAAAGCTGTGATGGAGGACAAGGAAAAATTTTCTAGTTTGGGAAGAATGAAGGTGAGTAAATTGGTAGATGAAACTTACTTTCTTTTTATTGGTGCTGGCTACTTTAAAGGTTAGTAAATTGCAGTTCAAGTATTTTCCATTAATGCTTTTATGTTTCTGAGTTCTTTATTTACTATTAGAAACTTCTTTGTGGTGTTTGATAAGTATTAATGATCACTTACAATTTCTTCAATTTTGCTTTAATGAAAACATTACTTTTAAATAACATGTTAAAGGTAACTTCATATTGCACATTTGTCAGTGAATCCTCCTGACAATTTAGTTTTTGTTAAACATTTCTAAGTATGAATGCAAATCACACCCCGTATGTGTTTGAATAGGGGATACAATGAAACCAACTTCACAAAGTGTTGCCTAAAACAAAGTAAATATAAAAGTAAAAAAAAAAAAGTAGTCCAACTACCTCCCTGCCATCTCTTTCAGATAACATGTAAGGTTACTATAATTGAAACAGTATGTTTATAAAAAAAAATCTCAGGTACAAGTGAGCTTTTTAAACTGACAGTCCTTTTCAAAATATACTTTTCAAGTATCTTGAAACAGCCTTGGATGTTCCCTTAAAAACAGAATGTCTTATTTCAGTCTTCAAGTTTAATATTTATTGAACAATAGTGTTGTTAGATTTTTCTCTGGCTAAATTATTCATATTATAATGATGCAACAAAGCCTTTTTAAAAAATTGTAAACACGCTTTTCAAGCCATAAAATATTTTATCTCTGTCATCTTTTTGTATTTCATTTGCTTTCTACTGTTCAAGCGCTGAATGCTTTTAATAAATTGATGGATTTAAAAAAGCTCTGCAGGGTTACTTGGAATTGTGTTGTAAAGCACTCCAGGCAAGGCATAATAGCTGTAACTAGTAGAATAATTATCAAGTGCATGACAGTTCCCAGGCAAACTAAAAATTTAGGGGAAGGAGTTGGGTAGTTTCACAGAAATGACATACACAAGCAGTTTCAGTAAGTCGGATTGTGGGTCATATCACTCCATTAGTTTTTTCCTGCAGACCTCCCCCAGCAAAAGTGCTGAAGAGCTCTGCTTAAAATAGGATGGCATTATATTGCCCTCTGTTTTTATACAAAGATGACTTTTTGTTGTTGCTAGTGGTGGGTTTTGGGGTTTTTTGGATCAGTTAGATTACTAGCACATTAACATGTAAAATGTAGTTTACTAATTTTGTTTGAGGATTTTTATGATCCAAAACATTAGCTGATATGGTGCTTTATGACTTTTTTGTAGTTTGCAAAGAATGTAAATGTATAGGGTAGTCTAGAGTCATTGAAAAAAGGTTTATTGAATTCTTGTAAAGTTATAGTATGAAATAATTTTCATGGCTTTTATGCAGTCTGTAGAAAAAATGCAGCGTGATGAATGACTAAACAATTAGAAGAAATTCCATAGCAACCGTAATGTCCCATGTTTAGTAAAACAGTGGTTGTGTGTATAATTTGCTAACAGTCAAAAGTTTATAAACTAAGGAATAATTCACTCAGTGCCTTAGAAAATACTTAAGCATAATCTGTGTTGTCAATGAACTTGTGGTGTTATTTTTTTTTCCTTTAAAAAAATCCTAGAAGAAAACACTGAAAGGACAAGGGACGTTTGATGGGGAAGGTAAGCACTGGTTTTTGTAGAGACTGTTTTTTTTAATTATTATTATTTGAATGCATTTGGGGGAGGGGAGGGAAAGGAATCCAAGCTTTCAAATGGCCAAATAAATGTCAAGAGAAGCTCACTTCAAGAGAATATTTTTAAATAAAATTCTACAGTGCTTTGACATAGAAATGTATATTACCTAATTCGAGATTTTAGATTTCAGTTTTCAGCTGGAAATACTTAGAAAAATACAACTGCTGTTAAATTCAGTTTGTTGAATTGTGAATAAAGAGAGGCTGGTGTACAAATATATACAAATAAAATATCTATTATTCAGCTCCTTTAAAAACACTGTGGGATTTTCATAAAATAAGTCCAATTCCTGCAAACTAATGTCAGTGGTCAAACTACTTACATAGCTTTTTGTCTTCATTGGGGTCTATGTGAGTGTCAGGATTGACCTATGTAGATCAGATTGCCGAATCAAGGGGGAAAGGTACCATTCTCTGGAGCTTAGATACAAACCAGCTCTCATCAATGCTTATTAAAATTATCCCTGCAGTCTAACATAATCCTTTCTTTCTCATGTTTCCATTCTGACCCATAAGCTTGTAAAGTCTAAATGTCATCTTTGTCTCCACCCATTTCTGCTCCTCTCACCCTGATTTTTGATGAATTGCCTGGGTCCCCTCCTCTTTGGTTGTAAAAGAAACAATCCATACTTGTGTTATCTTTCCTGATTATGGTAATTGGTGCACTCTTTGCATGCCAATCTTTCATCTCTCTTCCCAGGCCTTTCAAAACCTGGTTGCTATGATCATCTTCCTTTACCACTGCTTTGTCTCTTTCTTTTCTTAGTTTCCCATGGCCACAAATAACACTACCCTCATCTCCTGCAAAACTTCCTTAGTCTCTCCTGATTCTATGTCCAAGGTTCTCTGCTGACTGCTCCTTTTGCCTCCATTGATTACGCCTTACTCTTTACTCTGTATAATGGCACTCAGGGTTCAGTTACTGCATTTCAAGGTTCTATAACTGAAAAGTTTATAACACTCTCTCACGTTCGTTGGGGCCTGCTGGCTATAATGAGCCTGCCCCACTCTGTGATCTTGCTGCAGTCCTGTGGATTGTAAGCTCTTTGGGCAAGGTTTTAGAGTTTTTTTTGGCAGAGATCCACTATTACACCACACCATATGCAGTTATACTATGTGTTGATTATTCTGTGTTGTATGTACACGCCTTATAATCTCTAGCCTTTATGTGCAGCCCTTCAGCAGAAGTACAGTATTGATGGACATAGCAACTAAAGCAAATCTGATCAAACAGTTTGACATAAGAATTTAACAGCTTCTTAAGAACTAGCTAAGGAGCTCAATCTCTTTCACTTTCCTCCCTACAAATAAATACTCCCAGGAGCTTCTGTGTCAAAAAATAAAACAGTCTGTGCACAATATTTTAAAATTTGGCCAAATTCTGCAAATTGTATTTGTCAAAATAACACTACATAATCACCCCAGTTTAAAATATATTTTGTAATGTATTTCCAAATAAGTCAGCAAATATGTCTGTAATAACAGGCACAAATTCTTTCAGAGAGAAGAGCAGAGACTTAAAGAAACCCCTATGACAACCCACTTCCTGTTTCTCTGTTCCCTTCCCCCTGCCCCCTCAGAGGTCAAATAGTGGGGGGCAGCCCCCCCTTGCAGGCCCCTCCTTGCTCAGAAACCTGTCCTCTTCCCTTCAAAAGCCTAGTGTGGTCTTCCCAAGCCCAGGCACTCACCCTTCTTCTCTCCCAGACCCTGATGCTCTGTCCTAGGCTTGCATGGAGTTTCCTGCGTGCTACCCTCTCCTTCCCTCCGGGTGTGCTGGGAACTGTAGCTGTATTCCTCCTCTCTCAGGCAGTGTCTTCTGTATTTGAGCTTGGTTTTTCTGGGCATAGGGGCACCCAGCAGCACTGCAGCCCATTTCTCTGAGAGAAAAACAATTCTGTGCACAGTGGTGAATTAATTTCTGCAAAATTCTGCATTGTACAGTGATGCACAAGTCCCCCAGATTAAATAGTATTGTCCAAAACACCTGTCCCATCTTTCAAGTATTATATCAGCCTTTCTCCTATGAAATGTTTTTTTATTCTTAGCTTTGTTCCTGTATTTTGAGTTCCCTCTTTCCCCATGTGCTTATGCTTAATATACAGTAAAACTCCAATTGTCCGGCATCCTGTGGTCCGGCACGCCCGATAGTCCAGCACCACCTGGAACCCGGAAGTGCTCCGCCCAGCTGGACAGTTGGAGCTGCTCTGCCCCCAGCTTCCCCAAGTCCGCTGCTGGTCAGTTTTAGCGGTGGCTGAATCGGGGAAGCCGGGGGCAGA